TTGTTCAATGTTTCTCAAATGTCTTTTTCTTTCCAGTCCTCCCCACCATCATGCCTTCTTCTGCCAACGCAAAACATTCCCCTCTGTGCAGAGTATCATGTGAAAACCTTACAAATGACTTAAGCCTGCTTTTGCGATCCAGCATTTGGGACTGTGCACCTCAGGCTTCTTAACACATTAAGTACTTTGGTTTATAAATACATGTCATCAATCAAAATTTTAAATGGTTTAACCTTTCACCTTAACATCTGTTACCAAAACAGTGCTCTGAGCATCTGTGATTAGGGCCTTTTTAGAACCTGGGCCAAGTAAGAGCAAAGAACAATTATAAAAATGCAAGCCCAGAGGAAAACAGAAAGAAAACCTGAATGGAGACAGAAGCAGCATGTAAAACTCCCTTCACTTGCAAAGTTGCTCAGTCTGTGGTACAGTGTTCTGTGGTATCACTGAGGCCCAGACTCTGTAACAGCGAAGCAATATTGCAATAGAGGAGGAAAATTAAGGAGTAAGCTCTGAGCATCTCTGGACCGTGGGTTCCTCTTCATACCACACAGCATTCCTTTTCCCTTCCTATCTTCCATGGGCCCAAGCACAAACCTTGCTTTGAAGCTGGACGCAAGGGATGGGAACTTTTTTAAAGCATTTAATTTCTGTGTTGCTGGCTTTCAACCCTGACGTGTTTAAAAAATGCTGCAGCTTTAACTTGGAAGAAAAAGAAAAGTCCACAGTAATCCAAGTAATCCCAATGGCACAGTGCTCAGCACATTAATATCGTGGTTTCTTTGAAAAAAATAAAAGAACATTTTCATGTGGAATCAAAAAGGACATTATACAGCGTATTTGTCCATACAGGGCACACGGTAGCGTGTTGTAGCCTGATTCGTCCTGAAATATTACACTCATTTAGTTGACAGTGAGCATGTCATCGCTGCACACACAATGTGACAGTGTGGCTGTCCTCTTCCTTGGATCCCGTGAAGTTCAGCATTACATTGTGTAAGCTCTAGATGATGAAGGAAAGAGATTTTTGCCTCTGGAATGGCAAGCCAGGATTACATGAGGTCACATGTAATTCATTGTGAAAGTCTCTCTCAATCCTGGATGTATTTCCTGTGGGTCTTTCCCATGGGGGCTATGTGATAGGGGGTCTCACATGAAGCAACCCAATGGAAACACAGGAACAGATGTACTAACACTCAATTTTGACAGCACCCTAGAGCCAAAAGAGATGTCCTAGGTCAGGAAATCATACCAGAGACAAACTGGCACTGCTGTCAACCCTGGTGCACTCATGAAACAGTAAGTTTACTTCTACGGCTGTGACTCAGACCCCTGCACCAGGCCAGAGTTTCTAAAAAAGCTGAACTCCCACTCAGCCCCAAAATACCTTAGTCTGGCACCACGAGGGATAAAGCCAGCCAGCTACCTCCTGGCGGATCAGGCACCAGGACTGACCTGAAGCCCAGTACATCAGGGAGAGAATTATGAGGCCTCCGCAGCCTGGAGAAACCGGACCCTTGAAGTCTATGCTCTTTCTTCTGTAATATTGCACAGGGCAGTTGTGCCTGCCTATGGGACTGCGGGGCTCAGACTTCTGACTCAAATGCTGGACATCTCTTTATTGGTTTGTTGTGAGCTAACAACTTGCTTCCTGTCCTCTAACAGGGTTTTGTGTTGCTGAAAGCCATTTAACGACTTAGGCTGTTCTTGGGATAACTCACTGCAGCCCATCCTGAAGAGGTGTTATGCCCCGTCAGCATCCGAGCAGATGCAGGTGCATGACGGGCCCGGGGAGGCATGATTGGGCCTTGCTGGATTCTCAGCAGACATGGCGGTCAATCCCAGGGGTGCTGGGTGGGGGGTCCCTAGCAAGTTTGAAGGGCCCAGGAGAGAGCTTTTTAAAATTAAACGTGGGATTCTTCACCATCCATGCAGTCATTTCATCTCCTTACAAGTCTCAGTGAAGGTGTGCAGGCATCCCATGAGTGTCTCAATGGCATCATCAGAAAGAAGGATCACTTTCATTTCCCATCAAATCCTACATTATTCAACTTCCTGAAAGTAACTATTTAAAATAGACTCAAAATAGGTATCTAAGTGGTCAACTGAGGCACATTTTTAAATTTGGACTGGAATAAAGAAAGTGAATCCTTATAAATTCAGTACTTTTCAGCATTGTTCTAATAAAACCGAGTATGTTTTAGGGCTGTGGGAAGCGTCAGTCCCTGATTTGATTCGGTGGAAATTCGGGCCGATTCGGTAGTTGAATCTCCAAATCCAAATTGAATCAGGAGACTAACTTTTTAATCACCCTGAATCAAATCAGAACCCTCCGAATCGATTCGGAGAGATTTGGAAAGATTCAGCAGTTCAAACATAGAGACAGCTTTAAATGTTTTCTCTACATACCTCCAGGTAGCAGGTGGCTTATGAACGCTGTAATGCTGGGGTGCATGGAGTGTCCCACAGGAGTGCAGGGGGCTCCCCAGCGCGCTCAGCAGCAGACCCAGAAGTGGACCAGAAGCACTTCCGGTCCGCTTCTAGGCCCACCGGGGAGCATGCAGGGGACCCCCTGTGCCCCCTGGCTCAGCAACTGATGTCTCCTGGGTCTGGGGGGGGCAACTGGGGTCCCTCCGCGGCTGACAGCCAAGCCAGTGGTAGATGGGGGGCTCCCAGCACACTCCCCAGTGGACCTGGAAGTGGACCGGAAGTACTTCTAGTCCACTTCTGGGTTCGCCACTGAGCACGCAGGGCCACCCCCCCACACACTCCTGTGGGACGCTCCATCCAGCGTTGTAGCATTCACAAGCCACGCCTGGTATCTCAAGGTATGTAGAAAAAAAAATTAAAGCTGTGTTTATGGCCGAATCACTGATTCTCTGAATCAGCATCGAATCTTCAGATTCGGATTTGGCTGAATTGAATCGGGGATAGTGATCCGAATCAACGAATCGAATCACTGTCCCCAATTCAGGCTGAATCTGAATCGAATATGGCCCATTTCACACACCCCTGGCATGTTCAAGAAAAGTCATGAGGACTGTTCTTGGTGTTCAAGGAACTTTGCCCTAAGAATTTCTGCGGTCTAAGCCCCGTCTGCCCTGGACTCCCTTGTGCCTTAACAAAGCAATTTAGGGCATCAATAAAACAAAACCAATTTAAGAACTGATCTACTACCACAGTGGCAAACTTATTTTATAGATGCTGGTTTAATTTGCATTCGAAGTTATTAAAATTGCACTAAAATAACTTAGACGAATATAATAAATCAGTCTAGGCCTCATTTCAAGTGGTTTAGGCCCATCTCTGTTAAAACAGTTCACCACCATAACTAGATTGACCTGAACCCCAGTGCAAGTTTGGTAATTTAGATCAAGATTAGCTTCTCAAATGCTATAGCCTAGGGTCAGGGCATTCTCCTGGGAAGTAGAAGTGGTGGGTTTAAATCCTTTCTGGTAGAGAGGGGTGTCTAGATCCCAGGCCTCCTATCTCCCTGGGTGAGACTATGATACAAAAGATGGAGAGGGGGTACCAGTACCACCATGTCACTTAGGTGCTACTCTCATAAGATGTTCAATGTTCTGGATCCTGGGATGATCGTGCCTCATATGCTGCAGTGACTCAGACACCTACGCTCCAGAGGGTACAGGGGTTCAGATATACTCCTGGCACTTACTGTTTTGTATTGGCTTGCTCTAGACAGCTTTCTGCTCAGCTTAAGGGCTCTCGGACTCATGTTTCAGGGATGCTTCCATTGACTGCTTTGGGGGCCTAGATGCCTCATTCTTTTTCTTTGAATCTGCACACCTAATTGTTGGGTGTTGTGATGCCTAAGTTGAAGGTGCCTAAGGAACCAATATGGATTTTGCCCACGGTGTAAATAAAACAAGAGCAGATGCATCAGTTCCATGGATAATGCATTAGATTCATCGTAGTTCTCATGGTCAGACTTCATACTGACACAAGGGTCCACTGAACTTCACTGAAGATCGGAGCCCAGTAGTCATGGCCCAACTCCAAGGGTGGGAAGAGGGGGATAGAAAAGCTCAGGCTCATCTCAGTTCAGGTCATTTTAAAAAACAAAGAGTAGGGCCCAAACCCTCAAATGGTATTTAGGGACCTGACTTCCATAAAAACCGAAGGGGAAGATCTGGGCCTCCGTTTCTAGTCCTTTTCCCCACGAAGGTATTCTGAAAGATTTCCCTGCAGCTAGAGAACAGTCTGTGCATTGTGGCTGTCAGTCTCCTGACACTGCCTAGTGCTTGCACTGACTCCTCCACAGGAAAAAAGCAAACGGGAAAGAGCTCTCTGCACCCATACGCGTCTGGGAACTCACCAGTGCAACGCCCTCTGTGTTAACAGGAGAGATGGGCTTGCAACAGAAGAGACTCCTACACTTCAGATAACACACACATGGCACACCAAAGTCCATGGGAGTTTGCAGAAGGGTTCCTACTTTTGTCCAATCATTACAAAAATAAAGGAAATTAAACAAAATGTTATTAAAGCAAGGCGTCGTCCATATAAAAGTCAGGTTGCAGCTGTAGGTCTAGTCATTTCTATTCAGGTGACACCTGATTATCATAGACCTTAATATTCTGCAAGCTCATTTGCTCCCTTGCAGTCCCCGGTGAAATGAAGTACTGTTTTGGAGTGGAACAGTGGCCCTGTCTCTGAATATGTTTCCCTTTGTTAAACTCCTGCGGTGTTATTACGGAGCTGCTGTATTCATGTAGTGCAAAGACCAACGCAAACTTCAAAGCAAAAAGAACAAGGATAGCCTAATTGTCAAACCTGTTGAATACCAACAACTTCATCCAATGTTAATGGGAGCTGCGTATTTGAAAACTCAGACTTAACTTTTGGCACACAAAATGATGTCCTCCTATTTTTCAGCCTAGTGGCTTGATTTTCCACAATGAAAAATTAGGCCTAAGATCTTTAATAAATCTGAATTTATATGACACAGATGGCATTGTATTTATTAGAAATATTCTTACCTGCTATTAAGTCATGGTGACCTACAGATCGCCCACATTTCCCATCCAAAATGTGTTGTGAAGATGTGTGGAGTTGCTGCATAGCTAAGCATTCACTTAGTACATCTTGTTCGATATCAGTACATGAATGTAGCTATAAGTGGAGGATAAAACAAAGAGATTTTATTTCAAAGTAAACCGAAGCGTAGCTAATTGAATGCATATGGCTGTTTGCTTATTGCTTATGTATAGAAGGAAGGAACAAAACGGCATTCTTAGGAACTTAGTGTAATTGAGGATATACCTACTACTTAGCATTTCTAATTAGAGATCATTTGGGTTTTCTTAAGCACACAAGTTAAGTGTGCTAATCTTAAATCAACAGCATTTTGGTTCAGAAACATAATGTACCCTGTGTTTCTTCAAATTTTATGGAGCAATTTATCTGCATATTTCTAGGCTCTCTGTAGCTCCTTGGGTTCTCTGGAGAAAGGATTGCATCATTTTTTTTTCGTAACGGCGACACTTGGAAAGACATTTGATAGGGAAA